CTTCATAAGGTCTTGTAGAATTCGCTAGAGATAGTTTAGAATATTGTTATCTATTTGTTACTTTTTCTTGTTCATCTCATACTTCTTCAATATTTCTCGAAAATTGCGGCATTCATGTAAGTCCCTCATATAGCGATTCATTCTTCTTCAATCACGATATTACTTCATGATCGTGTTTTTCCATAGTCGTCATTGTAAAATTGCTTCACTCGCTGTGAATGCGTTTTTTCTATGATGATCAACTAAGACAACTCCCTCAGGGACAGCCCATACTCCCCTCTGTCTTGTACAAGCAACCGTTTCAAATGGCCTTTTCAGGAAAAGTATACGTATTCTATGAGGGAACAGACTGCTGACGAACTGTACAGGATGGTGGAACGGTAGAGAACGCGCTGGCGCAAGAGAAGCGAAAGACAGGGATTGAAGGATATATAGGCAAGATGATCGTTGCAGTGTGACGATGCTTGTTCGTCGACATTCCCACAACTTCCAAATGTTATAAGCCATCATTTTTGTGAATATTTTTGAACTTTACTTTTATATTATCAGAAGAATGTTCGTGTTATATATTGTTTTGTAGATGTCAGACGAGAAGAACGACAACCGTCGTTCATTACGTCCTGTGGCTTTTGCCGCCGTCGTTTTCTCCACCGTTGCTCTTACAAGTTGTCTTCTAACTTTCCCTTTGATACTCCACTATGTGCAGACTTTGGAGTCTCAAGTGCAACTTGATATTGAGTACTGTCAGGTAATATATTAGTTTTTTCTGTATATATATATCATCTACATTGCTTGTTAGGCCAGAGCTAGAGATATGTGGAAGGAAATGCTTGATATAGAGACTGGTGGTAGAAGAGATGTTGGAAGACTTGCTAGCATCGTCATGGCTCAACGTCGTATTGCTAAAAGGTTTCTCCTTTAAAGACTTCAAATTTTGAATTTTTTATTTAAGAGACACACTTGCTGATTTCTGGGCTCGTCGTCTTCATGACCAAGAATTAAGAGATCAGCCTGTAGGATATGACGGACCATCAGCTTTCGTTGAGTCGCCTCCATCTAGCGATACCCCACAAACTGGCGGAGGATGCTGCACCTGCCATCGTGGTCCACCAGGACAAGTAGGAGATGCTGGAAGAGACGGTGTTGATGGCGTTGATGGAACTCCTGGAGATATCGGACCACCAGGACCCCCAGCTCCACCAGGACCAGACCCACAATCTCTCTTCCCAGAGCAGTGTCCTTGTGAAGCTCCACCAGGAGAACCAGGACCAAAGGGACCCCCTGGACCTGATGGTCCACCAGGAGCACCTGGATCAGCTGGTGATGATGGAAAGCCTGGAGATCAAGGAGAACGTGGACCACAAGGAATGCCAGGACAACCCGGACAAATGGGACGACCAGGACCTCCAGGAGAACCAGGAAGCTACCGTACTGAAGTCGGACCCCCAGGACGTTCAGGATCCCCAGGAAGACCAGGACCACCAGGACCACCAGGTCCACCAGGAAATCCCGGAAATGATGGAAAGACTGGACAATCCGGTCCACCAGGTTTACCAGGAAGCCCAGGACAACCTGGTCCAAATGGTCAAGCCGGTCCTAATGGACCTGATGGAGACAACGGAGCTCCAGGATCATGCGACCATTGTCCACCAGCTCGTTTGGCACCCGGATATTAAAACGGATGGCTTTTCTAGAATAAAATTGAATATCGAATGTTTTCTAAATAAAAGCAGTTCAGACATATTGTTTCCATTCAATTTTCAAATATTATCAAACTTTCAAATTAGACTACAGTAACTAACGTGCTACTCTTTAAAAAAATAAGTTCCTTTCACGATTCAGACTTCACTTCTTTCAAGATTATGAAATATATGTTTTTCAAAGTGTAGAGTCCTCTTGGAACTTTCTCCAATTGAGAACACTAAGTATGCTTGACAACTCATCTCGTTCCTTCGGCATCACCTGCTAATGACAAAACATTCAAGTGAAGGCGCATGCCAGAATGGCATTCAATCCAGAAGAGATAACATCATAGTAATAATAAACAGATTTCTTTTTGCAGTTTTTCTAATTATTCCATTTTTTGAATTAATAGTCTTTCAGTAAGACAACAGGTTGACTAGAACGACAGATGCCAGTTGTGTAGGAATATATCCTGAAGATTGATCATTGAAAGAGCTCTAGAGATGATGACAATCTCGTATGTCAAGCTTGATCATATTGGGACATTTAGAGGGATATTGGAATTATTGAATTGCTTTGCTGTTGAATTAATAAATGCTGATTTCTGATTTGTTCTCATGGTTGATTGAATACGCTCTGTCTGAGAAACAAGCGAATTAAGAAAAATTAGTAGAGATTATTCGAACAACTTAACAACCAATTCAAGAATCATCTATGTTCTGACAAACTTTGAACAGCTTGTATACGTGTTCTCCTGATTACTCGAGCGATTATTAGCCAATTATAATCGTTTAAGCGAATTACGTATTATTGCGTACGGTACGTATTTTAAAATACGCAGAATGTTTCAAATCTTTTTAGGCATTTCGCGGTGTGAATAATGTTTTGAGATTGAGCTTCTTTCCAAAAATGATATTCCATAAGTCATTCAATTTTTTCAGAAAACCAGGGTAATGGGTGTAACCGAGGACAAGAAGTTTTTATCTCTTGAAGATAAATGGCTTCTGGTACCTGCCTTTCTGAAGGTATAGCAAACTGAATCAAAAGAAAAACATCGAAAATGAATTTAGGTGCGGGGACTGGTAAAGCAACATCTTGTCAGTTTCGATTATTTTGTAAATGAGGATATTAAAGCAATTATGTTAGCCAATCAAAAAGTCACTAGTGACGCCAACCCTAATTTTTACTTGAAGTGAGCAGCCTTCCGTTTCTTTGCTAATTTTTTCTTTATAGATACACAGATATTAGAATAGGAAAACCATCTAGCGAAGAAGGTTTCAATCAAGTGAGCTTTCTTCTCAAATTTGATCAGTTTCTCATCTATATTCTCAGGTACACGACAAAATTTCTCCTCAAGAGTGTCGTCTACGAGATATGACGTACTCCGCTCCCATCACTGTAGATGTAGAATACACCAGAGGAAGTCATAAAGTTATCAAAAAGTTTGTTGAAATCTGATTATTCATCTTACCAAGCGATTTAAGAGGTCTCACAATTGGGCGAATGCCTATCATGTTGCGATCTAGTAAGTGCATTCTACGAGACCTGGTATGTTGTCCGGCTCAACTTATCCTTATGTTCAAATTCATAGGCTGAGGAAGAATTGGCTAGGGTACAGGAATGCCCATATGACCCAGGTGGTTATTTTGTCGTCAAAGGTTCCGAGAAAGTCATTCTTATCCAAGAACAGCTTAGTAAGAATCGTATTATGATAGGTCGAAACTCTAGCAAAGAGTTACAGTGTGAAGTAAGTCGTATCATATCGCAACATTCTTGATCTTCATCATCACAGGTTCTCTCCTCAACAACAGAACGGAAGAGTAAAACATATGTAATCGCAAAGAAGAACAAGTACTGGTTAAGACACAATCTTCTTACTGATGATATTCCTGTTTCCATAATATTCAAAGTAATATCTCACCTCGAATTTTTTTTCACTATTGCTTTAGGCTATGGGTGTGGAGTCAGATTACGACGTGATTAGTTGCGTTGGTTCAGAAGAAAGATATGTCGCTGCCTTTGCACCTTCTTTAGAGGAATGTGTCACTCAAAATATTTATACTCAACAACAAGCACTGACGTTCTTAACTTCGAAAGTGATTTTTTTCAAAGTTTATTCTTATGATCATGTATTTCCTAGGTAAAAGCCAGGAAAACTTACGCCTTCACTCCGGCAGGAACAGCAACATTGAATACAATTCAGCCAAAAGAACACGAAGCGATTGATTTCCTTTCCGGGTATATATTGTTTCTCTTACTTATAACTGAACTTGCTTTTACAGCGGAATGATATGCCATGTAGCTTGCCCTGACGGTAACTTTAAAATGAAAGCAATTTATTTAGGATTAATGACTAGGAGGTAGAGAGTTTGCTTATATATCTTTATAACTCTCCATTCTAGACTAATTCAAGCTGAAATGGGAGAGAATGAGTTAGATGATCGAGACTTTTATGGAAACAAGAGGCTTGAATTAGCTGGTTCTCTTCTTTCTCTTCTCTTCGAAGACTGTTTCAAACGCTTTAATAACGAACTTAAACGGATAGCAGACAATTCCTTGGGAAAAACCTTAGCAGCTCCTTTGGATATTGTAAAACATATGCGACAAGATCTGATCACTCACTCCATAGTTAATGCGTTGGCTACTGGAAACTGGATTATCAAAAGATTCAAAATGGAAAGACATGGAGTCACCCAAGTTTTGAGTCGACTTTCCTATATTTCTGCCCTTGGTATGATGACAAGAATTAATTCAACTTTCGAGAAAACTAGAAAGGTTTGTCTACGGGCTAGCGGAATCTATTAATTGGTGTTTCAGGTATCAGGACCTCGTTCTCTTCAACCATCACAGTGGGGCATGTTATGCCCTAGCGATACACCAGAAGGAGAAGCTTGTGGACTTGTAAAGAATCTTGCCTTAATCAGTCACATTACAACTGACAGTGACGAAAGAGTAAGTGTTCCCATACCAGGCTTCAGTTTTTGTTTTTTTTTCAGCCTGTACTTCGACTACTCTTTAACTCCGGTGTAGAAGATCTTCAAAATGCTCATTTTTCTCATATTAATAACCCGTAGGTACCATTTCCACTCACCATAATTCAAATCGTTTCAGTCAATACCACCTAGTCTTTCTCAATGGTGCTCTCATAGGAACAACTTGTGATCCTGCTCGTGTGGCATCATCAGTTCGAAACGTTCGCAGGTAACTCTGAGCATCTCGTTCGTTCATCTTAGTTTTTTTAGAAGCGGACTTCTTTCTGAATTCGTATCAGTCTCACGCTGCCTCAATCAAAGATCAGTCTATATAGGAAGTGATGGTGGTCGCTTATGTCGTCCTTACATCATCGTTGAAAATGGTGTTCCCATGATTGAGCAATACCACATCCAAGAACTCAAAGACGGTGTTCGAATCTTCGAAGACTTCGTCGACGATGGTTTGATTGAATATCTTGATGTGAATGAAATGAACGACGCCAAAATTGCTGTATATGAAAAAGATGTCAAGTTAGATACAACACATCTTGAGGTATTGCACGTTTCCTGGATCTTCCTCAAAACTTCTCTTCAGATTGAACCCTTCACACTACTGGGAGTTTGTGCTGGGCTAATTCCTTATCCTCATCATAACCAATCTCCAAGAAACACATATCAATGCGCTATGGGTAAACAAGGTTTGCTGAATGATATTTTCTGTCCGGAACGTTATTTCTCTTCTAGCTATGGGTACTATTGCATACAATCAACAAAAACGCATTGATTCAATCATGTATTTGCTGTGTTATCCTCAGAGGCCAATGGTGAAATCAAAGGTGCTTCGCTCTGTCCTCGTCTTTTCAACTTTTTCCTTCAGACTATTGAACTTATCAATTTCGAGAAGCTACCTGCTGGAGCCAACGCTATCATTGCGGTTATGTCATACAGTGGTTATGATATAGAAGACGCTTTAGTTCTTAATAAGGGATCTCTTGATAGAGGTACTCTACCGTCATTTTCCATTGTTAAATATTTCTTGAAGGTTATGGTCGATGCTTGGTTTATAAACATGCTAAGGGTACAGCCAAGAAGTATCCTAACCAGACATTTGATCGACTTATGGGTCCTGCTCTTGATCCAACTACACGAACACCAATTTTCAAACATAAGATTTTGGATCAGGAAGGAATTGTGTTTGCTGGAGCTAGAATTTACTCGAAACAGACTATGATTAATAAGCATATGCCTATTGTTTCACAAGATGCCAATGGAACATCTTCGTCTCTACCACAAAGTAGCTTTTCTGTTTTCTATTGAACACTCTAATCAGTTAAATTGTAGTGAGTGGACCTGCTGGAAGGACTGTTGAGTACAAAGACGTTTCCATCACCTACAAAAATCCTATCCCATCTTATGCTGAAAGAGTACTTCTCACATATAACGATGAAGAAGCTCATTTGATCAAGGTTCTACTTCGTCAAACAAGGTTTATATTTTTTATGAGACGCTTATTAAAGAATTTCCCTCAGACGGCCAGAGTTAGGAGATAAGTTCTCTTCAAGACACGGACAGAAAGGAGTGTGCGGACTGATCGCACAACAAGAGGATATGCCTTTCAACGATCTCGGAATGGTCCCAGACATGATCATGAACCCCCATGGATACCCATCTAGAATGACAGTAGGAAAGTTGATGGAGCTTCTTAGTGGTAAAAACGGTATCATGGGCGGTAAGTTCCACTATGGAACTGCTTTCGGTGGTGATCAGGTGATACTGTTCTCTCGAAATGGATCTAACTGTTTGTTCAGGTTGCTGATGTGTGTGAGGAACTAGCATCGCATGGCTTCAACTATATGGGAAAAGACATGCTCACCAGTGGAATTACGGGACAGCAGTTGTCAGCCTATATATACTTCGGACCTATTTATTATCAAAAGTTGAAACATATGGTTTTGGATAAAATGCACGCGAGAGCTCGCGGACCTAGGTAAACTTGTTCAAGTTTTGGTTTTACGTAAAGGTTTTTAGAGCTGCTTTGACTCGACAGCCCACCGAAGGAAGATCGAGAGAAGGAGGTCTCCGTTTGGGAGAAATGGAGCGCGATTGTCTGATTGCTTATGGTGCTTCTATGCTTTTGATGGAACGATTGATGACATCGTCTGATGAATTCCAAGTACCGAACCCGAAAAGGAACCGTCTTCTATTTCTTTCTGTTCCAGGTCGAAGTTTGCACAGAATGCGGGTTGATGGGCTACAAGGGATGGTGTCAGAAATGTCGATCAAGCAAATCGCTAGCTCATATCAAGATGCCTTATGCATGCAAACTTCTGTTCCAGGTAATTCAAGTTGCAAGTTACGAGCTATCATTCAATTATGTTTTCTTTCAGGAGCTCCAATCTATGAATATTGTCCCTAAACTAGATCTAGCTCGATATACTGACTAACTCTTTGTTGATTTTACTATGTTATGAATTGTTATTGTTGTGCAAATGTTATTGTTATAAATTTTTAGAACTTTATAATGTGTTGATGAACATCCTCTATCTCGAAAATCTCAACTGGTCGATACCAGTGGACACGTTTTCTACGTTCGTCTCATTGTTCGACTTCATTGAAGTAAGCGAGATATATTGAAGAAGTATGAGATGAACAAGAAAAAGTAACAAATAGATAACAATATTCTAA